GAACTTCAACACAACTGAATTCAGGAACAGCCATGGTATTTCTAATGTCACTGCTAAGGATGTTTTTTTCTTTTATTGTCACAACCAATCTTTCACTCTAGAATATAGTATAGAAACATTTATATGAAACATAGAATTTTGCAATGTAAGTGGAAAAGGACCTCAGATTATTTCATATTAATAATTTTCTGTCATTTCTTTCTACTTTAGAAAATGTTTTGGTGCTAAAATCTTTGCAGAATGTACTTGCTATCTTATTTCCATTTTGTCTCAGAATATTAATAGATTGAAAAGATCAGCTTAGAAATAGGAGAGTTCTAGTAAGATTACTACTTTGGGAAATGTATAAAGAGAGATAAAGTCTTAATTTGAAAATATATTTTAATGCTTCTACAGCTTTTGAAATGAAACCAAAGCCATTTTGATATAAACATAAACGCACATCATCCAAACTTTGCTGGTAATGTCAATAAAAAACTAGATAATGTTAACATAATCTAGAATTACACTGCTTTTTTCTTTTGTTATTTAGATACATCAGTATTGTTTGCTGTATATCCACTTTATTTGAGGATGCTTATGGAGTTTTTTCAGCACTTTTTCTTTCTTGTCATTTGACTCTGTTAAAAAAGATGAAACATAAAATGTACAAAGCATCCTTTGTACAAATTGTGAGGCTAATGTAATAAAGAAAAGTGCTAGATAGTCCTGATGCTAGCATAAGATATATTTATATCTTTACCCCAGTACTGTGTATTAATTTTCTCTTTAAATCCTTTCAGACTTAATCAATCCTCCTTTCCCCCTTTTATTAGGTAAAAGTCACAAGCAAATGTGCTACCTGTCAAACTGGTACTAATTAAAACAATTAATGAGAGAAACTGGACATCTAGGGTGAGATTTTCTAAGGCATTTAGATACCTAAAGATGCAGATATGTACTTAGTAGGATTTTCAAAGAGCCTAAGCATGTAAGCGCCTTACATGCTTAGGAATTTTTGAAAATCCCATAAGGTGCCTATCTGCATCTTTAGCATCTAAAGACTTTCAAAAGTCTCACCACTAGTCTACATGATATTTTACCAGTCTCTTACTTTTTCCTAATAATCGTATCTCATTTTGTAATCAGCCTTGGTAATGCTGTTTAAACAGGAGAAAGTGGGAGAAAAAGAGAAGATTTTGGAAGTTAAATTTTCTATAATATTGTGCTAATTGTTTCAAAAATCTACGATCATCTATAATGATGACAAAAAGCAGAGTTTTAAATTGTCATCTACGAAGTGTCTGAATTTAGAAATTTACCTATTTATGTAAGCCTTTAAGGAAAAATTACACAGCTTTCATTACTGTTAAAGTTATTGAAGTTAGAAGCTTGCTGCATTTTATCTGTTTGTGCTTAGGAAAATTATGCAACCTTTTTAGATCACCTGGATTTAGATCGTTTAGGTTTAGTTTATGTGGCTAATATATCCAAGTTGCAAACGTTTGGCTCTAGTATTAAGTATTATTAAGAAGCAGGACTTAGAAAACTACTGGATCGCATAATCTGTGTTTCTTCCCTTAGGGGATCAAGAGGGCACAGACCCATAGTGTTACTGTTGCAGCAGTTTGCTCTGTGTAAAAACTTCATAAAATCCAATAAAAATTAGTAAAACTATACTTCTTAGAAGAGCAAAGAACTGCTTAGTCTGGCATCCAAGTGCAGTTAAATTCAAGACATACCTCTCTAAATGATGACTCTTGTTTTTCTACAGTGATTTCTTATGCCGTTGGTTGTCATTACATGTTATAATTTAGAGTGGGAACTCTGTGGTAGTAAGGGGATTATAGAATTTGAAAAGACATTGAAAGTAAAGTCAGTAAGTACAGCCATAGTCTCCTAGCGGAGATTATGAACAGTGTAGTTATGCTTATTAAAGGGAAGTAATTCAAAGCTTTTGTAAGATTTTGAAATGGGTGTTTTAAAAAACAGTTTTTAAATTGCTAAGAGTAACAAAGCTTCTGTTTTTGCTACACGAATCTATGTGAGGATATATAAAAAAATAAACACTGACCAAGCAAAATAAATAAAATATGTAGTTTTGCAAAGTTTCAGCTTGAAATGGTAAGTTCAGAAAGTTTAAAACATCCATTGAAAATAAACTAGTCTCTTCTCTTTTGAAGATAAAAAATACTTCAGCAATGGAAATACCCGCTGACTGGTTGCTTTCATACCTAAATCTCTTCCTGTTTGAAGGGGAGCCTCCCATAATTACGTTGCTGGCTAGAAATACCGAGCGGTTTTCTGTTGGCTGCCCTTCAGCGTTCCACTTAATATCTCTATATATGTGAGTACTCATTACACACCGTTTTTCTTCTAAACCATTAGAAAATAAATTTTTACTGCTTTCCCATTTGTCTACCTTCCTAATGATATTTCTGCACTGATTGCCTCTATTGTGTATTTCAGTATTTATTGACAGAAACAAACCAAATTTTTTACTCTCTTCTTCTGATGTGAAACTAAAAGCTCATCCATGCTGTCTCTGGGGAACGAGCTACACGTGAAATCCAACTGGCACCCATCCCATCACTATACACTTGCCAGTTTTACCGAAGGAGGTTTGAACAGAAAATTAATTGGCTTTAAAGCTGCCAAATCTGATCAGCAAAGCTCAGCTGGTAACTACGTTTTCTTTAAGCTTTTCCTCCTGTTGTTTAAGCTGCAGTGCCTTAGTAAATTAACAAGAACATCTAAGATGACAGATCAGTAACAGAATATAAATGGATTTTTTTAAAAATGTGGAAACATCTTAGACAAAGTTCCAACCCTCTTGAAATCAAGGGGATTTTTGACAGTGGGTCTTTTGCATTTCTGAGCTTGCTGTGAGTAACCTCCACAGTCTGGAAAGTAAGTGATGAAAACCCATACTCAGTTCCTCTCGTTGCTCTTCTATTATCTAAAAGCTATAAATGGAAAATAACAGATAATGCAGAGACAGCTTAGGTATTCAGCAAAGAGCAATCTTCCCCGAGAGAAGGCTAGTTGTGCCTATTTACTTAAAATGAAACTAACTGCCTTTTAGCATAGTTGTGGGAATGTGGATCATAACAGAAAAACACTAAATCCAGTAGGTAATAGATGTGTTTAAGGCTCATGACATTGTGTCTAGAACTCATCAGAATTCAGTTTTGCTAATCATAGAATCTTTATGTTTTGTCTTTGAATTGTCTTTGAAAAGCTGATGATGAAGGCAGCATTGGAAAAGAGCAGAGTGGGTGTTTTACATCATCAGGGTGAATAGCCCGGAAAAAGGAGGGCAAAGAATCATAGGTTAATCAGCCTTTCTCCCATCCTGTAGAGAGTCTGAAGTAAATTTCTTAACAATCACTTTTTAAGCATCTGGGGAACAATAAATTAAGGGGAAAAAAAAAATATTCCTTTTTCAAAGTAGCTGACAATGTGGAAAAATGATGGATGGGGTATACCTTGATGTAAGATAATTGACACCGTCCTGTTTGATATTATATAAAAATGAGAGCAATCACGAAATAGGGGCTATGTGAATGAGTTAAAAAGTCAATGAAAGGGATACTCATTTTTTCTGAAAGGTCAGCCTAGGTAGCATCCCATAGTGATCTGCTTCAAGCCTCGCTTATTCCGTATTATCCTGGATGATTTAGAAGGAGGACATTAGAGAATACAGTTCATTTTTCAAATGGTAGCAAGCTAGGAGGGGTCGCAAATGCTGTCAATAACATACATTGAAAATTCACTACAATCTCAATAAGATGAAGGGCCAATCTGAAATCAAGATAAAATTCAAAAAAGACTAATGAATAAAGTACTATGCTTAGCAAGGGGAATCATGTATGTTACTTACAAACCAGCACAATAGCTAGAGTTCACATGATGTTATTGGGTGGTGAAAAAAAACAGAGCTGAGATGTGTTAGCTATACGATAGTAGATAAGACATAAAAACACAATTGTTCTTCTTTTCCCTCTGTGCTAGTTTGGTCTTAGCTGGAGGGTGGGTCTGCTTATGAAAAACAAAGTGGGCAGGGCGGGCGACAGGAATAATAAAGGCCAAAGAAAACATGATCTGCGAGGAAAGGTTGAAGTAGTTGAGCTTGTTTAATTTAGAGAGAGCACAAATCAAGGGAAAGCGTGGTAACAGATAAGTTATAGAAAGGACAGTAGTCAGGTGTTCGCTGTGTCTTGTAGAAAGGACAAGAAGAAATCAGCTTAATTTGCAGCAGAAGACTTAGGATGAGTAATAATCTGTCCCATCTAAAGGACACTGGAACCTAGAGTACTGTGTATGCTGCCTTGCTCTCTCTCAAGACATAGAGTGGATTTTAAGAGCTGCTTAATAACATGAAACAAACATAGCCATCACAGTGCTTTCGCAAAGTGCTAGCAGCCTTCTCTCGGCATACTGAAGGAGAGGGTCCATCTAAGGTCCATCTTAGTTTGAAACCGCAGAGCACGGCCTGTCACTGGTCCTTCCCTGATTCGATGGTCTACTCTGGTGTGGCAACCAATATTCCTAAAGCCTTGAGATTCTTTGAGGGGCAAAAGGGTTACTCAGATTTTGAAACAAAACAAAGAAAAAGTGGTTTTGACAGGTGAAAAAGACAAGACAAGGTGACAAGAATTTTTAAAAGAATTGCCTCGAAGCCTGGCTACCTCGGTACATCGACGCATCTCCTCTTCTCCCCTTTCTTCCAGTTCCTCCGGCTCCAACTGGCAACTCCCCTGGCCCAGCTGCCGAGCGGGTCTGAGGGCTGCTGAGCCACTGGGGCTGCGGGCAGGTGCCTGCCTGCCCTGGGGCTGCCTGGCCGGCCGTAGCAGTGCAGGCAGGCAGGCAGGCTCATTCCTCGTGCCCTGCTAGGGCAGACTTTCCTGGCTCTTATTCTGAAACGATGATGTCAGGCAGCTCTCTCCAACCGATCCATCAGTGCTGGCTGCACACTGTCATCCTGGCTCCCATACCTTTGCCTGACCATCTCCGATCCGATGCCTTCTTCCGAGCGGAATATGTTTTCCGAAATCCTTTTGTCTGCCATCAGCCTCCTGCTTGCTAATTTGCGGTATTTCCTCTGCTTGTTGATGCAATTCATTCCAGGTAAAATGCATAAACAAATCCTTCTATGCCATCGTCTTGGAAAGGGGTTTTCTGTTGCGGGTAGGAGCTGCTGCTGACACAGGTCGGTAGAGCGTTTTCATTTCTATTGATCAGAAATTAGGAACTAAGCAATTTGAAGTGTTTGTTAGAAGCCAGAAATTCTCTGTTATTTAGTCTATATTTGAAAAGATAAACAGGAGAAGCGAGTACGTTGCACAGATTCCCTCGGATTACTAGCAGATACTGATGGTTTAGAGCTGGAAAACAAGTAGGCAGCAGATTCTGCAAGGGAGCCTGCTGTGAGATGTGTAAGCGGGCTGTGAAAGGGAGAGGATTGTTTAGAACAGCGACATTACTGAAGCTTTGATTTGAACATACAAATGGGAAACTACCCCAAGGGATTTTGTATCACCACCAAACTCTGTACTTCGTGCCATCATTGCACAAGTTGAGCTATCTTTTTTTGGGGGGGTCTAAGAGAGTGAGATCTGTTATCACAAAATAAGAACCAATAAAGATTATGTCAGAGAAAGTCCACCCCTGAAGTGTAGAATCTATTTCTACAGGTGTCTTTGGGAAATCAGCAGATACTTCATATGCAAGAGTATGCACAGTGCACAGTTGCTTTTCTCCCTTACCTCCCTTTGACAAGCCTTTCTCCACTCCTTTTCTCCATTTCTTTTTCCCTGTGTTTTCTGTCACTTCTTTTATGTTCTTCTTTGCTTCTCTGCCTGTTAGCAAGGAAGTGGGTGGCAGAGCCCCTCACAATGGGAAATCAACAAGCTAGATGGAACAAGGAGTCAAGTACGGGGACTTCCCAGCAGACACAAGGCAAGTGCAACAACTTCAGTTCAGGTATCAGTGTGGGATACGCAGGTGAGCTGCGGGGTTCAGCCCTGGTGAAAGCGGAGAGTGACGGCTAGAGTCTGGGTGGCAGAAATCAATAGCAACGGCGACTTCAGTTGAGGGGGGGGAAGCTGGTTTGCTTGCCCTGTTGTTCCAATCTGTGATTTACAGGGATCACAATGTGGCCCATACCTTGTACCAGAGGATTTCCAAATTGGCTGTACAGTTAGTCTGAATTTGCGTGGATCCTCAGAGAAAACAGAATTCTTGCTTCACTCTCCCTGCTTGAAGAATACTAACTGTGACCATTCTGTTTACTAAAGTCTGCCCTTAAGTCTGGTCCTGGACGTCCTTTCGAGTCAAGCAATGAGACTGTGCAGTTGTACGTGGAGACAAATGGTGGTGGTCCCTGTGCCTTGGATTTGAATGTGTAGTTTAAAATCAAAGTGGATTTGCTATATCCAATGTGATTTCAATTTCACGGTTAGCAAATGGCTTCTGTTTCTGCCATCCACAGTTAAGATTTTCTGTCCCACCCATTGCTGTTTAAGTACAATTTAATGTCTGAGTCATTGCTACTGTACCCAAAGCAGGTGGGGTAGCTTCTTCTGTGCAGAAACTTTTTCAAGATCTTTGTTTTGGTTCTACCGTTTCTGGATATGAATAATCAATGCTAGGATGTCAGTTTGTGACAGGCAGAGAAATCATGGCATGCTGCTCTTTGAATGGAAACAGTACATGAACAAACAATGCCAGGCTATGATAATTCTGTAGTAATTGCTTCCAGTATTTAGAAAAGATCTGAGGAAAAAATACAATGCTGTATTTGGCACTGCCTCTACTCTGATGTGCCAAAGGAATTTTAGCTCTTAAGCCTACTTTTAAAGGTTTGTGATAAAATGGAAATTAAAGTCCAGAAATGAGATTTTTGAGATGGCAGGTTGTAATCTTGTGCTGATTTTCAAGTATTATGTTCAAGCAAATACAGTAGTCCCCACTGGGATTTATTGCTTATTCAAGTTCTTTCATCTTGGAGTGTAGCCAGAACAGTAGAGCAGAGTCAGTATTTATTTACATGCTGCTCAGCATTAAAAACCAGACTGTCTTCTGTCTTTTCCAGAGATTGGTGCCTTCTTTGGTGGCTAGGTGTTACAATAAGTTAAACCTTATGACTGAGCTCTTATCTGAAGGTGATGCACCTTTATTACAATTGCTCATGAACAGTATATTCATGTAGGAAGTGTTTGTGTTCCATCTACTCAGTGCATTTCAGAGTAGGTGCAGATAAATGTAACAGGTTTTGGTACTAAACTATGATTAAATTTGGAGGGTAGACTTTATTCAGATTTAGGTGGGTTTTTTTTTAATAGGGAAGAAGTGTAGGATGTGCAGCCATGGTGGGTTTTTTAAATATTTTTTTTAAACGCAGCTATGGTTGCTCACGGATTAGCAACAAAACTGTTTCCTTTGATTTGTTTATTCCATATGGTACTGTCCTGCATATGTATTGCAGCAGCTTGATTTTTTTGGAACGCAAGCCTTTCCTGTGCTGACAGGGGGGAATGAGTGCACTAGACTTGCACTTCTGGTCCTAGCTCCATGTGCTAATTAGTCTGCGTTGTTTGCTCCTGCTGCTACTGATGAAATTTCAGTACCTTGCACAGATAATGATACCTTAAAAAAAAAAAGTCAGGTTGCATAAAGTCCCTGCAAAGCACCTGGGTGACTACACACCCCATCCTTGCATTTCTCAAATGGTGATTTGAGAAATGGCATTGCTTCATAGATGCTGGTCACTAAGGAATTCCTGACAGCACCTTGTTTCCAGATCAGACCAGTGATCTGCAATACTGAGGCAGTTTATGTAATGCAAGTATAAGACATACTTTTTTTGTGTTGTGCTGAGTTTAGAGGAGGTCATTGCTTATTTTTGTCTTCTGTTTCTTGTCCTGAATCTCTTCAGAACAGACTCACCAGAGCAATCCTGCTTTGGGGTTTTTTTCATATTTTTTTTTTTTCCTTGCGCCCCTCCCATCCTCCTGGGTTTTCAGAATTGTCCAAGAATGACTTCTCATGTTTCTGAAAACTTCTGCTTTGACTCATCTGGTTATCATGATTTTATTACATTTTGCATGCATTACTGTCAGGCTCTTCAGCTCATTTGAGTGCTTCCCAGAAGGAAAGGTAGTACATTATCTTGCTATGCTTGTTTCTTTCTGTCTGGTCTTGTCCCAAATCTGGATTCTTTAGCCAGTGTGCAAGCCAATAACACACAGAGCAGAGGTATTTCCAAGTTTATTCCATTAATGCGCAGAAATGGCGTGCTTGTCCCAAACTGGGAGCACACCTTAGTTCAAAAAATCTCCCCTTTTATACCTTGATTATTACATATGCAAACAATTAATACATATTCATTGTTATTCCCTTTAATGACTGGTCAAGATTTCTTCACTTATCATGTACATTAGTGTGCAGGCTCTGTCTTCTTCTTCCATTGTTCTCTTTTGAGTAGGTGGTCAATGAGTCTGTGGTCATGATCTCCCCCTGCCGGAATTACCTTTTACCCGCTTCTCCTCTGATCTTCACAGTTGCAAGTGGTTTTCTCGGTTTGCTGACCAGGCCTACAGTTCTTCGCTCTCTTGACAGGAATACCCTGCTTATCAGCAATGCTACATTGTCTGGTGGTTAGTTCTTTAACTGAATCATAGATAAATAATGTTTAGTTACCATTTCTCTATTATAATATTAGGCAAATAATTAAATAGGTTTGGGGCAGTATAGAGGACTTGAGCAGCAGCAGGTTTCCTTGGTTGCTTCAATTACATTTTACATTTCATTTTCCTAGTTTATGTCCCTTGTACTACAACAGTCTGATAGGACAGGGTATTAACGTACACATTCTTATTGTATGTAGCCTGTTCTCAGACACTTTCTAGACTATGTCTTGAAATGAATTCTAGCTAGATGAATTCTAACTAGATCAAATTTCAGCAAGGATTACTAAGATGATCATGTGAATGGCAAGGTTATCACAGGAGAAGGAAAATGAAAAGAACTTGGCTTGCTTAGCTGAGGAAGTGGTATGATTGCTCTAAATACAACATGTGGTAAGCACAAGAGAGGGAGAACTACCAAAGCACGTAACAGTGCTGACAGAAGAACAAAGGGGACAAACTGTCATATGAATAAAGTCCTTCTGTAAATTCAAAGGATTTTTCTAAGCATCAGGGCAATGAGCAGTCTTCCAAAGAGGGGATAAGTGCCAGGAAACATAATAACTTTTAAGACAGAGTTCACATATATGACTTTCTGGGACAGCAATTGGGAGGAGATGAGCTACGTGGTCTTTTCCAGTCCTGTTTAGGCTCTTTTGTGAAGTTTATCTTTCTAAATACCCAGATGTAATTATGCTGCTTTCCAGGAAGTTTCTATGTAGTGCCATCTTCAGTCATATCATCTTTGTTTCTGCTTGGATGCAAAAATATCTCCTTAGGGACACATTGCTCTCATTTTTTCTGCATATCTTTACAAACTTTAGCTTGGCCTACTAAAGCTGCATGGCAGTCACTAAGCAGGCCAGGTGTTGGTTGATATGAAAAGCCTCTACTTCCTTATGTCTAAGGAAATACTCTGAAGCACTAGTGTTGGGATCAGATTGAGTGCTTCGTATAGGATTTAATCAGAACTTAATTGAATTTTAAGAGGGAGAGGATGTTGGTGGTTTGAGGTTAATTGCTTTAGCCCTGCATTTGAATTCTTTATCTAGCTGACTTACCATATTAGAGATCTAAAGAAGGATTTGAGGATTGGCGAGCCGGAGAACTACATTGAAGGGATCTTGCAATTTACCTTACTGCATGCCTAACACCCATCCTGTCTGTAGCTGTTCTAAAGAAGCAAGCTTCGAAAAATGCTGTCTGCCAACTCGGTTCTTTTGCAGATACTGTCCTGTCTGAAATAGTAGATTTCCTCTGTAGATGTGAACACATGGTTTCAGAGGCTCACAGGTAAATTGTGCAGCAGCTTCACTTAATCACTTGGATTAAAGAACGTTGACTAGTGGTGAAAGTGACCAGTATAACCAGAACACACTGCTACCTCAAGAAGTCAGAATGAAGTTCACTATCAGTCTGGACTCTGCTTAGTGTGTGCTCTTGTCTGTGCGAGACCTGGTTCGGGAATACGTTTCTGTATGCCAGGCTGTCCTTTTGTATCAGTGTTCTACTTACACCTAAATCTTCATCAGTTCTAGTTTAGTTCAGGGCTCAATGGTCTCACGGTAAGGATGGAGCTGCGTAGTAAAGCAACTCCACTGACCTGTGGACATGAAGCCTGTGATAGATGAGGAGGTGATAGCACTGGGAAGGAAGGCAACAGCCTGTGGACTTTCTAGGTAAATCCACCTCTGCAGCTAAATGGATTGCTAAAACAATCCTTGTGTTGATGGGGCTTTGCAAGCCAGGCTACTGGAGCCAATAACTAACTGTGTGCTGTTAGCACACAGCATTCCAATCAGTTCATGCTTTCTTGACTCTTTTGTCCTATAACTATGCCTAATAAGGGGGATATTGCATTCAAAAAGGAGGCTCCATCAGAAATTATCCTTTTCTGCTGTTGCTTATTTACTTACCAGGTAAATCTGTTTAATCTGTTTGGTCCTGTCCTGTAAATGTATTTCAGCTCAGTTTCATTTGTATTCTTCCCAACTTCCATTTTTGGGGGGTGTGGGTTTTTTTGGTTTTGGTGTTGGGGTTTTTTTTTGTGCAAGGGGAAAAGCCAGCGATTGCCTTTTTGAGCTTCTGAAATCAGATAGTACTGGTGAGTTTGAGATCTCACCTGTACACCTTTCAACACCCCATGAGCTTCTGGTCTACTGCATTTCACATAATGCCTACTTAGCAGAGTCCTCCCTAGGCAGTGTAGAGAAATCATGACAACCTGTATTCAACAACCTATATTCCAAGACTTTGGGTTCTTTAACATCATGTTCATAACATTTCTTCTGTTACAAGCTACGGCTTGCCTGGATATCCAATCTGATAGCACAGAGTTGAAATGAACCACATCTTTAATTGCAATGCTCCAAACATCAAAGCAGTGGATGGTGCTTGTCCCTGTCCTCTGTGTTCAGCTTGCTCTATGCGGTATTGATTTTTCTTTCCTGTGTATGCTTTACTGCAAAAGCTTTTGCAGTTAAGGACTTTACAAAAAAAACTTTTCTTACTTTGCTAACAAAAAGGCAGAAAATCTGGGTCTACAGAAGAATCAATTATGAATATGGCTATAAAGATTGAAGGCCAAACACTGGTGACTGAACAGTAGAAAGACTTTAGGAAGATTTCAAATGCAGCAAAAGTAAAAAAGCTGGCAGCGTATCCTGCTTAAGTATCATGACCTCTTCCTGATGTGTTCTGTGTTACTTTTCTGCACTCTGCTTTATGTTTGGAAACTCCTTGGGCGATGCCTGATTAGATTACAGGTCCTGGGAAAATCTCCCAGTGTGTACAGTCTCTTCTGTCTCTTTAGCTCGCCCATGACTGTGATACCAAGGTGGAGTTAGAGCGTGTTTTAGAATGCAGTTTTTCTATCTGAGGTGTGCCCAGCTCTGCCTTGCTTTTGGCAACATTGTCGTATAAAGGCATTGCTTTACAAGGTGCCTAATTACATCTACGTGCTTGTGGCTTTGGGCTGCAACAGTCAGACTAGCTCCTTTCTGTCACTTTTTTCAGCAGGCTGCTTGTCAGAAATCACTGAGAGATTATTTTCAGTGCTCCCCCTCAACATTACTCTGTGTATCATCCCAGCTTGGATCAGATTTTTTTTTTGCAACTTCATAGATTTTTATAATAAATATCCATATGTTGCTCTCAGTTACTTATTGAAATGAATTCCAACTCTAAGCTTCTTTAATTAAAAGTTCTCTTCTTTCCTATCATTGCATATTTTATTACCACCTTTGGATTGCAGAACAGGTGACTCTAACAGATTAACTGCAGTAGAGTTAAATCCAGTGGATTTTCTGCTCCCTGTGGATGTGTGGGGTATTATGGGAACACAGCTTTAGTTGCAATATCCACTATAGCTTGGCTGCTTGCAGAATGCGGAATGCTATGCTTCTAGACATCCAAACTCAAGCTCTAGCAATTGTCTGTTTATTCAAGTGAAAATCTCAGTTACCTGATTTTTGTTCTTGCCTCTTCTTTACAGGCTTAAAGAATTTCCTGCCCAGCCCATCAAAAGAGCAAATCACCTTCCACGGCCCCAGGGGTTTGCAATGCATCTCGCCCTTAGTGCAGACTGTAGAGGAGACTCCTCAGCCCATCTCAGCAAAGATCAAAGGACATATTCCCAAATGGATTAATGGCAATCTTCTGAGGAATGGTCCTGGGAAGTTTGAGTTTGGCGAGGAGAAGTAAGTCCAGGTTTGGTTTGTCAAATGATTCTGGTCTGAGGTCTGAATAAACCTAAAGGGGACTCCCCCGAAAGTCTCACAGTTTGGTGCACTTTGTAGTTTCTTTTTAAGTAAAGCAAGGAAGAAATGCTTATGTTATCATTCTTTTAAGAACAGTTGCTCTCTCATTGGGAAACTCCCAGTGGGCTCTGAAAACAGGAGCATGGTTAACTTATTAAGGTTGGAGAAGCTGTGTCACAGAGAGGCTGTGACCTACTCAGAATGATATAATGAGGGAACAGAGCCGGGGATTAAAACATCCACACTCCTAGTCCTTTGTCATTAACAAAAGTCCATCCCACGAGCACTCAGAAATCCAGGGCAGGATTTGTAAAGTTGATTGCACTAAATTGTGTGAGTTGCTTTATCCATCTAATTTTAAAAATAATATATAAAATTATTTCAAGAAGGTAACTACTGCCTTTGGCTTGGGATCTGCCATTCTAGCTAACTGACTAATCTAGCTCTTTCTGCATCAAAGCTGATGGCAGCAACCGGACAAAGGTGATCACCTTATCATATTTCCAGAGATAGACCATAATGTTTTCTCAAAGTCTCACAGATTTTTCATTTTGGAGAGAATAGCATCCTGCAAACAGCTGGGAGCTAAAGGCTCCTTGTGCTGTTGGGTTTTCAGTTGTACAGTAAAGTATAATTTCTATTCCCTATGCAGAAGTCTGCAGAGTGATTGGTTTACCGGTATAGATGATTTTGCCCAAAAGCTTATACATAGCATTTTCAGAAGTCCCTCATGTCCACGTTCAAAAGTAAAATAGGGGGCCCAAATCTCACTGAAAGTCAGCATCTAACTTCGGGTCCCACAGCTACAAATACGCTTGATTTGTTTCACTTAATTTCAATGTTTTCCCAGACTCATCACAAGGCTATGCATGTTTAAGTGTTCATGATCTGGGCATTAGTTTTTTACAAACAATAATAAACCCAAAGGCAAGAGGGAACAGTATAGGAGAACATGATATAGCGCTCAACTTCTGTCCTCTTATTTATGTCTTCTTGAAGATTTAACCATTGGTTTGATGGCATGGCCCTGTTGCATCAATTCCAGTTGGAGAATGGCACGGTGACATACCGGAGCAAGTTTCTGCAAAGCAGTTCCTACCTGACTAACAGCCAGCACAACCGCATCGTGGTCTCAGAATTTGGGACGCTGGCAATGCCAGACCCATGCAAGAGTGTCTTTGGGCGCTTCATGTCACGCTTTGAGATGCCACGTAAGAGGGTTTCTAAGAGATAAATGTTCTGAGACTTTCTTGGGGAACTTGTGGTTATGTTTAAAGGGAGATGTGAGGAAGCCTGGTAAGCCTATTCTGAGCCCATGTTTTCCTTAGAAGAAGATGAACAACAACAACAACAAAAAAGCAAGTTGATGTCAGACTTAGCTGGGAGAGGCATATTCAGTTTAATGTTTTAGTGCCGCTTCAGCTCACTCAATTCCAGAGTTTGTTGCAAATTTCCGACAGAAATCTTTCCTCAAAGAAGATCCTGTGCAGTCCTGATAATGAGCACTACAATCTGCTGTTCTACCTGAGACACAGCTTTGCCCTTAAAACACCTTGCCTTGCTAAGCTTGTAGGGTAAGTGGGCTAATCCTTCCCTTCCTGTACTAAGATGCAGGAGGTGATATGAGTAGGGTGAGAGACAGTATCACACAGGAAGGGAAGTACCACTACCTGTAGGATTTTGTGTATGTCAGGAAAGAAGGAGGCTTAAATGCAAGCAAAGTACTTTCCACTAAAATCAGAACAGACCTAAAGTTTGCAACTTGTTGCTCACTGGTGTGACCATCTTCTCCTTCCTATTTTCCCTGAGGAGATAGATCCCACCCTGCCGTGTCATCTGTTCTCTTCAAAGGTACCTTCCCTCATTGGTCTGCCTAGCTCCCCAACTCCCCACCCCTCCCAGCTCTCTCAATAGATTTCAGAACTGTCAACATAGCTCATCTTCTTTCTCGAGCTCCAGCACGTTGTTCCTGCACACCCTTGCCTGTTTGACTTTTTATAGGTAGACTATTCCTCACTACAGTGTCTGTCCTCCGGACTTTTCCTATACCATCTTCAGGCTCTGTGTTCACCACACACAAAATGTTCAGTTGTGGGAATCACTTTTTCCTCAGCTCTTCTCAGCCACCTGGCTAGTGAGCCTCAGCTGCCCTAGAAGTAGCCAGAACAGCTCTGGCTGTTGTGCAAGTGTAGCTCTCAAAAGGCATCTCCCTGACTCAGTTTTAAAGAGAATAGGGAAGAAGAAGCATTCCCTGTCCAATCCCTGTCACACAAATAGTGTCCCTGCCCTCCCCTCAGCCCAAGTCTTGCCTTTCTTGTTTCCAATGCTGTAAATCAAACATGGCACTCTTCATATGGCTGTCAGAGGAGAGGACTTTGGCTGGGGAGGAAAGGGAGAGGGATATGAAGAAATAAGATGTCAGAAACAAAGGGCACATGGAAGTATGAAGATTATCTTGGCTTCACTGTTGTGATTTTCACAAGAACCAGTCCGTGTCCTTTCATCTTGAACTCACCTGTGCAGACAGTTTCCTGAGTGCCTTTGTAGATTAGTGAGATATTTCTAATCAAGCACAGAGGGATTAGTGTCATTGCAAATGGGTTTATTTGTTTAAACATGTCTAACTTGCTGTAATGTGACGCGAGCTTAAACAGAGCTCTGTACAACTCCAGGATTTCATTTCAGAACCAAGTGACAATGCCAGCGTGAACTACGTTGTGTATAAAGGAGACTATTATGTCAGCAATGAGAACATCTTCATGTACAAAGTGGACCCGGAAACGCTTGAAACGAAGGAAAAGGTATGGGCAGATGGGATAGGGGGTTAGCTTATGATACAGGAGAATCACTCCTTGCCATTTCTAAGAGCAGCAAGGGGGAACCCAGATTTCAAAAGAAATGATCGGTGCAGCTCTGGGCCATAGCCATAAGCATCTCTTCACGGTGTGCTTGAGTCCCTGAAAAATCTACTTAGCGATAAGGCAGCTCTCGTGAGTGAAGATTCAGTCACTGCCCACTGTAGCAAGCAAGGGGAGAGACAGATACAGACTCATTTCCGTTTGGGTACAGCTGGCGTTCTTCCAGAGCGTTCGCTACTTGTCTGGACTTGTTTGTACCTACCAGTGTGTGAAGAATACAAGTGCATACAGGAAGAAGTTAACATCACTGATCTCAGATATGTATTCTTGCCCTGTCTCTTCATTCTTCCTATCTGTTCCCTGTATCTCCTTCTTACACCCCCAGCATTAAACAATCCAAAACGGCCCTTCAAAGGCTTGACTAAAACCTCTGTTGCAAAGGGGTGGTGAAGTCAATGTAAAGTCAAGTCAAAGTTCAGCTGACACTTTATTTTCTCCCATGCTAGCAAATGAATAAAAAGTGAGAGTAGAAGTCTTCCTGTATGTTCAGTGCATCATCTCACAGGACTGTGGCTGTATTTGAGGGGAGAATGTGACTTGTGAAATGACAGAATAAGCTATATGTCCCCCTGCCTGCATCCTTAGAGGGGATTTGGGTATTTGCTGGGCTGGACAACTGTGGGAAGGACTGAGGAAGGATTCTGCCATTCCTGAGACAGTATTAACTACTATGCCTGTATGTTACCACAAACTATTTAATACCACAAAATACCAGACTCGGCATACCCTCAGATCTCGAGGGAGGCATTCCAGGAGTCCCTCAGGATCGGTTGTGAGTCATGAAGAAACTCTGTTTGTGAAGTATAGGATGCTACTTGCATATTGAAATGGAGAGTTTGACTATTTGCAATTTTATCTGTTTTTTAAACCATAATGCAGCGATGAAAAGATGTGTGGGTATTTTTACTATGAATGTTCAGCTCTGTTGAGCCATCTTGTCATTAAACAAAAAATTCCCCTTAAGCTGCTTTTTAGATGCAGACTGTTATTTTTTGGCTAAGTGAAGAAACGGAAGGAATGATTTCACATTAAAACTCTCCGATTTGAGATGCCTTAAAAGGACATGGTTTTCTAAGCTTTCAGTGGTGTGGCACTCTTTTCTACTGGGTCCTTCCAAAGGGTCTCAGGTTGGACACCTGAAAGCCATCTTTTTAGATTTTTGGAAAAGAAGCATATCTTCCATGCTTCAATGTTTCAATGCATGATTGATCTTCCTCCAACTTTTTACTGTAGACTTTCTTCTCAACACATCCCCTCCACTGTCTGAGCCCAAACCACACCCTAACCCAGGAACTAGGAATAAATATTAATAGTGCTCACAATTGTACCTTTGCCCTAACTGTTCCTTTTAGCTGTAGACAGTGAAGCTAAACTGTTTTCTCTGTGAGGAGAGTAAACACTGACTGTCAATTAGCTACCGGTGCTTTTGAAAAACTTTGTGATTTTTTTGGGCAGTGACTGTCTCTTCACATGTCTGTCTCTGGTTATTACATGGGGTCCTCACTAAAATGCTTGTATGGGCAACGTTCCCCCGTGTCAGTGCTTCCTGCCATTGGTAATGTTCATGTCTCCCAGAGAAATGGCTTGTGTTATTCGTCCCATTTTACTGGTAGGACTAACACAGAGAGAAACATTGTTAATTCTCAAGTTTTTCAGGAAGATCGATGGCAAAATGAAGGCTTAAGCCCAGATCCCACATTAGGGCCATAATCATTAAGCTATTTTTCCTCAGACTTTCATGAAACCAACATTTCGAAAGACTGTGGCTTACTATAGAGCAAGAGGAAACTTCTGTACTGACTGAAAATCTTTGGCATTTGCAGGTAGACTGGAGCAAATTTGTTGCAGTGAATGGGGCCACTGCTCATCCTCATTATGAGTCTGATGGGACAACGTACAACATGGGCAATTCCTATGGGAAACACGGTAAGACTGGGCACAACCAGGCCTGGCTCGTGGGCACGGTGTACAGGCTGCTTCTTGCTGCTGCTTGAAGGAGCAGTTGTTGAAGAAACTTCAGCGTCCAAAGAGACCTTGAAATTGCTGTTTCTCTTTATGTCAAAATGATGGCAAACCAGATATTAGTTCTTATTTCAGAGTGTCGATCTGTCCCACAAAGCTGACTTCTCTCAGCAATTATTTTCAGATGCTTCTGACTGTGGCCTGTGAATATCGAACAGATTCCCCTCTTCCTCTCCCAAGCTTTGATGGAAAACAGGAGAATGATTTTTAAAGTCCCATCCAGTGTTGAAACCTCATCTGAAGAATTTTGACAATTAGCCATACATTTTTCCATTTACAATAATTGGCTTTTGATAAGGACCGTAATGGTTTATACAGGAGAGAAGGTGGAACTTATTACAGTGACCTGGCTATCTTACAGCAAAGCTGAATTTTATGGGATATTTTTCTTCTTCCCAAAACTATGTGCATTACATCTAGTTGGGATCTAGTTACATCAACACAGCTGCTCAGAGCTAGCGTTCACCGTTAGTTACATGAAAGCCTTCTTTTTCAGGTGCCCTAGGCTTTTGAAGACAGCCACTGCCCTTTATTACGATACCTCAGGCTGGTTGCTGTTCACTGAACAGTTGCCCAGTTTTGATCATTTTTTTATTCTTGCTGTTTTCATTTCCTTTTGGCTTTAGCAACATCTAGCTTTGCAGCACATGCTGTTTTCAGCTGGAGAGACCAAACTACAGATTATTATTCAAATGTGCTATTCTTCCCTGCCCATATGCTCAGATTTATTAAGCGAGCATCAATCATCACCGAGGCTCAAAGTTTTCATTTCCTTTGATAACACAAGCTATGAACTTGGGTTTCTTCCTGCTCCTGTTGTTATAGTGTACTCTGACTTAACATAAGGAATGCATTGCAGACAGTAAAATTAGATGGCTCTCTAGCAGACCGAGAAGATCCTTCTACTTCCTTTCAAGCTTCTTTTTTTTTTGCTAGGTAATCCTCTGTTGATGTTTTATTGACTTGATAACTGGCTTTTTGTTTTCTGCTCAGTATAGCTATGACTGTGGTTCCTAGTATTCTAGGGAAACAGAAAGGAACAGAGCCTGTCTTTGGTTTCACGAATGTGGACAGACTCACATCTCAGTGGTGATGAACACCCTTTCTCCTTTCCAGGGTCTAGGTACAATATCATTCAGGTACCTCCACAAAAGTCAAACTGTAGTGACACATTAGAGGGAGCGAAAGTGCTGTGCTCCATTGCTCCACTGGATAAGATGAAACCCTCCTACTATCACAGCTTTGGTAAGAATGCTTTCTATCTCAGCCTCTTTGGATTTAGCCTACTGTAAGGCAGAAGGGGCTGTTCACTGCCCTCTGCCCCCGAGATTTTTTTATCATCTCATTTGCCTAATACTCGGATGATATCTCTTTCCTTCGCTTTTCAGGAATGAGTGAAAACTACATCATTTTCATTGAGCAACCCATCAAGCTGAATCTTTTGCAGATTATCACTTCCAAACTCCGTGGAAAAGCCATTTCTGAAGGGATAAGCTGGGAGCCTCAGTACAATACTTGCTTCCATGTGGTGAATAAGCACACCGGGGAGGTAGGTGAATCTGTGCCCTTTCCAGCAGCTGTACAGCTGTAACTGGAATCTTAGATCCCAAGAGAAGAGTGTTGGCTAGCAGCCACAGATAGCTGTATGAATCAATGAAGAAGTTACTGCAATATAGGCTTTATAAGCATGGGTGTAGGTTTATTAGAAATGGGATTACTTCATGCATTTTCCTCTCTTTTGATTAATTTCTTTGCCAGCACTAAAACAACAGGCAGAAATAAGCAGTTTGGCGTTCCTGAGACTGCAGCACAGGGAGTGAAATGCAGTTCCCAAGTACTACAGAATATAAAATGGTCAGTCATAGCCTGGGAATGATCTCATAGGGATGGAGTCATGACAGCAAGGGGCCTATTCTGGGCTGCTTTACATTTTGGCTTTTCTTCATCTGGTTTTGCCTACTTACTGGCTTAAAGGAGCCATTCTGTAGTAACACAAGAGCAGAAGACAAATACCAAGGAATGAGTGGGGAATGAAATGGGGGAGAGAAGAGAAAACTCTCCAAGGTGTGGCTAGGATCTTTAGAGAGGAAATTTAGGCGCTCTTATGGTCACTGCAGGTGCTGCCAGGGCAATGGTACAGTAAGCCCTTTGCTACTTTCCACCAAATCAATGCCTTTGAAGATCATGGCTGTGTGGTCCTTGATCTGTGCTGCCAGGACGATGGAACAACTCTGGCTACTTACAAACTTCAGAATCTGCGGAGGAGTGGGGAAGGTCTAGATCAGGTAAGATCTCTGCATTTGTGTTGCGTAGGATCTGATGAGGCCTTGTGCTGGTTGAGTTACTTTTCTGAAGCAAAGTTCGGGTTAGTAGAATGGAGAACACTATGGGGGACCACAAGGTTGAGAGTGTGAACTGGGGAAAGGAACCACGACTGTATGGAAAAACTAAAATTATGATCTATTGATATGTTGGTATTTTTCTTTCCTTTTAAATCTCTTAGCAGATAATCTCCATGAAGTGTTTCCTTGAAACTTCTAAAACTGGTGTGTGACACAGATCTCCATCAGCCTGGCCGAATGTACTTCTGTTTTAAAATCTCATTTGTAGAGATACTAATTTTCTGTATCCTTGTGTAATAAAAATTTTCCCCCAAGAAAGTATGCAAAATAAGTTTTTGCATGACTTTTAAAGGGCAAAAGAAAAAGAAACCATTTCCTTCAGAAAACCAGCCTTTATTATGTAAATCACAGAAATACAAATAACGCAGACCTCTACATTGTTCCTCACATTCACCTCATGACAGCATGTACTCATAAATCACTTATTATGTCCAGCTGTGTCAAAAGCACCATTTAAAGGCATGTAAGATGCATTATTTTGCATAGGTCATACACTGGAAAAGTAGGGGTGCTTTCAGTTTCTTGTAATGCAGATGTGTTTATTGGAAACCCACCGTATTGTGGGTGAAGGGCAGGCATTTCTACAACATGTTGAAACAAATCTGAACTTCCTCTGTCTATGTTCTGAGCTGTCTAGAAGCAAGTCAGTTCTCATCTGAAAAATGTATAGTTGTGTCCCTGTAGGGTCATTTTGTTCTGCTTTCCTTTGTTGTTTTTTTGCAAGGATGTGATGAACATTAATTCAAGTACAGTATAGTGTTAGTAGGACCGTTTGCTTTGCAAACTGATTCCAGCTTTTGTTCAGCCTTCTCTGAGCACAAAAGAGCTATAATTTGATCTGTCTTAAGGTGTCCTTATGTCAACATTAGGCATGTGTTTCCAACACCCACGTTCTTTAACTGACAAGTAGCATAGCCATTAAACTGTATACACACACAAGAGTGCAAGTCATTTCAGAACAGATTCTGAAATTTACACAGCACCGAAAGACTAGGGCATGCCTGAGCATGATTTGTCTGCTTTCCCTGAAGCAGGCTTAGTGCTTTGGCTTGCTGACCAAACCATATTTTGTCTGGCAGAGGTCCTCAACCAATCAGTTTACTGTGGCTACATAAGACATAAAAACTTTGAAAAGAGGGTTTCAAGATTAACACATATGATTAAAGTGAAGTTTCACATTGAACCAGTGAGTCACAGACTGAAGTAACTGAAAAACACCAAAACAGGGTCCTTGCCACCTATTTTATTTAGAAGGTTTAGTATTTGGAAGTATTATGGGTTCTAACCTTAGCTTCAACAGAAGTTTAGCGGCAATGGTGGAATTATTCCTCTCATGCAGCCCCATGAATGTCTGCCATGCTGGGGGCTGCTCATTTGCTCTTCCCTTTGCTCCCCAAGTAAATCCACCACTAGCCTAGACTTCCCAAACAAGAAGTCCATGTGCACCTGAGAATGGAAGAGCAAAAACATGCAGGCTAACTTCAGGCATTGAACTGAGGTACAGTAGTCTCATTCTGCTCGCCTTATCATCCAGGGGAGAGGAAGACTCCTCCAGAGACTGATGTAGAGCATTTAGTCACACATTTCCAGTCATCCTCTGGACAAGCCCCTCCTTTCATTAATTTCACGGAGAGCCAACATTTATGCTCCGAGATTAACGGCAAGCAGCATGGTGTGCAAGAAGGGCCTAAGTCACGCAGTCAGTGGGGCATATGGGGAGAGGCTGTAAAAACAATCAATGTAAGTCTGTTCTAACTGAATAAAACACAGAGCAGCATCTGTCCCAATGCTGGGTTTGGAGGATAACTGAGTGATTTGCATACCCAACTCAGCATTAATTACTGTGAAAGCAATGCTGACCCATTTAATTGGTTGTCTTTGTTTTCTACTGCAAAGTACTGGAACAAGCAGAACCCTTACCAGAACTTGGTAAAACTGCTAATGGAAAGAAGAAGAAGATTTCAGGGGTGGGAAGAATGTCTAAAACTTCAGAATTGTTCCCAAAAAGGGCACTTAGCCCAAAATGCCACTCTCCTCTCTCCATCACCATAACTTTCTGTCTCTGTAATAGGTTTATGACTCAATATCCCGAGCTTTCCCTCGTCGCTTTGTTCTCCCACTGAATGTGAATTCAGACACGCCTGTGGGGAAGAATCTGAATCCACTGTCTTATACATTGGCAAGGGCTGTGAAAGATGCAGATGGCAAGGTATGTATTAAAGACTTACATAACTGCATTTATGGCTGTGGTGAGATTGCCTGCAACGGTTATCGTCCTGTGCTGTTATCTTCTCAGATCTTGTCCACCAAGCAAGCAAGCGAGGTTTGGTCATTACTAAGATGGAACTTAGTGTTTTAGTACAAAGACTACCACATTGCCTTAAATGAGAGAGCAAAGACAGATTGTGATTTACCAAAAACGACCAAGTGGATTATGAGCCTTTACGATAATTGGGCAAACTTCAGCTTCTTAATTGACAAAATCCTCCACGCTTTCACCTGGGTACAGAACTGCTCTTTGCTTGCAGCTCTGAACATCCCTACAGAGTGGCATTCAGTGGTATAGAACACGTGTTGTCCACTATGAGTGGAGTCCTCTCTGTGTGTACTTTGTACATCAGATTGATGAGTACTGGACCTGGGATTTCCTGAGCTAGGAGTGCAGATGGCCTTGATTCTGTTTTTCACACTAGACTGATCCTTGAAGTTTCCAAGGTCTGCGATGATGAATCAGTTCTTTGGGTGAAACAGATAAGGGAGACGGAATTGGTGCTTCCACCTGCCTCAGTACAATGAAGCTCATCTTTAAACATTTCTTCTCCACAAGGGTTGGGCAGTGGGTTGGTGGGACCAGTCAGGTCTTCTACCCGGTAAAAGCTGTACTGACACTCCTGTAACGCATGCTTCTAGGTCTGGTGCACACATGAAAATCTCCACCCTGAGGGCTTCGAAAAGGTTGGGGGCTTGGAGTTCCCCCAGATCAACTACTCTCGGTACAATGGTAGGAGGTACCGTTACTTCTATGGATGTGGTTTTCGGCATTTGGTTGGAGATTCCTTGATCAAGGTTGACGTGGAGACCAAGAATTTCAAGGTGAGGCATAGTGAGATTATCTTTTTTCAGCAACGGGAGTCATTCCACTGAACTGGCCTTGAAGATACATCATTTGGCACTTTACTCTTTAGGCATCTTTGTTCAAATGGGTCTGAGGTGAGATTCCTAATTTCATCTCTCATCTAGCACCTTATGAATATGGCACACTTACCAAACAGGAGAGGATATCACTCCAGGTTCCTAGATAGATGACGGAACAGAAAGGGTTGAATACAATATGCATGTGTCTTCCAGGCCAAAGAAGAGTCGTCTCTTACCAAATGGTACAGAAAATACCCAAGTAGCAGAGGCAGTTGGAGATAAACTGCCAAAGTATTTATGACTCAGGCAAGAAACAAGGTTTAGGATATTTCCAACTGCAAACACAAGCTGGGATTTTTCCTATGTCTCCCTTAAGCAGGGAATAATGATCTCCAAACAGTTAAACGCTTATAATTCAGTGACTTTCCTGGAGCCTAGAGAGAGTTAGTAATCCTCAGAAATAGACACCCATTTTAATTGTTCTGCTCCGGATACTCATTTTGCAGTAAGAGTGCTCTCTTTCAGCACGGCTTTGGGGTGCAATAGCAGCAGCAGCTATGCCCTCAGGTGGTGATGGTGATACATCTCCTCTCTGCTGGCACAGTACCTCTCTCCACAATGCCTGGGCGTAGCACGGTCCGCACTAGGGTGGTGTCAAGGTGGCTGTGCCAGCTAGGATGATGGTGTTTTCTGAGCTGCAGCTTATACCTGTGCCAGTGCAAACTGTTGGATAAAATGAGTAATAGAAACCCTTTTCACTGCCTGTTTGCATGATGCCTGGCACAATGGGCATGCTGTCACAACACTGACACCATCATAATACTGGAATTAAAAGGTTGAACTACAGGTTTCTTGGAGCACAGAGTATTCCTGGTCATCCTTGTGAGGAGCACTCCAACTTGCAAGACTGCTAACTGTAGTAGACACGTATAAATGAAATGAAACACATCCATATGTTACTGTGCTTCCTAGATTTGGCAGGAGGATGGATCCTACCCATCAGAGCCCGTGTTTGTGCCAGTGCCTAATGCCACGGCTGAAGACAGTGGAGTCATCTTGTCTGTTGTGGTCTCCCCCACTGAGGTAACTTACTGCTACTTGTTTGTCAAAGTCACATAGTATTAGGTATACTTTCTAAGCCACGAAACTGAATTTGAGGCTCTCTAACAGATAGTTCTAGCACCATGCTCCCCAAGGTGTGTGCCCCTGCAACTGCCAAGCACAGCCAGGCAAACTTCAAGTAGAAGCATACCTTGGAATGTCAGTGTTTCTTGAGTGGCACCTGTGACTCAGTGCTCCTGGCCAATTGTCTTACTGGGTTAGTCTGCACGATCTGGTTGTACCTGACCATATGGCCTGGTTCTACATTTGAGCTCCCTTGTGGGCGACAGATGCAGTGGGTTGGACAGTGGAATGAAGTTCAGCCTGGGCATTCATTCTGGCTTTCCTTTCATCCTGCAGAACCGAAGTGCTTTCCTGCTTGTCTTGGATGCAGAGACCTTCAGAGAATTGGGGCGAGCAGAAGTCGCAGTGCAAATGCCTTATGGATTCCACGGCATCTTTACTTCCCACTGACTGAAGACCTTGTCGCCTCCTGTAACTCAGGGCCAGGTCAAGCTCAGAAAGAAACCTCTGCTTTCTTTTACCTCCCACCTTTGCATTATGCCCTGGATGAAGGAAGTGCTTTTTCTCTGTCGTAACCTCTGATTTACTGCTCTATTCCTAACAATATATGGCAAAGGGTCTGAGAAAAGCAGAAGCCCCTTCACTCAAACAGCCCACTGCTTTATCTTAATTTTCTGACTATCCTGATAGACCAGTTAGCAGCAGTTCACAAAGGTTGCCATGCATAAGACTTGCAAGGGAGAAAATGGAAACTATGATGACCATTACCTTCCCTTGGTAGCAATGTGCTCTGAAGGGAAGAGAATATCAGTGCTTAAGGCAGTGACTTTGGCTGAAATGTGTAAAGCAGAAGAGACGAGTAAAACCAACTAGTAACATGTAGGGCCAATGAAGGGATGTAATTTCATCCCCATTGCAATAAAGATTGCTTTCAGTAAAGCCCAGAAAGTAAATGCAAACATTTACAGAAGCTGTACTTGTAGTGCTTTTCTCTGTACACTAACGGTGCCCTCAAATAAAACCTTGTGAATTTTCTTCCTTTCTTTTCTTGCCCTCATGAGACCCATGGCCAGCTTCGTGCTGTGCCACAAGAGGCAACAGCTGCAACCCTGGCACACACTTTATTATGTTCCATGGTCTTGTAGACATGCATGACATGTCTCCACCGTGCTCCTGCTTAAACAGCATAGCTGGATACAGCTCTGACGATTAACATTTCCTGCCCTCCTCCTAATTCAATCAGTATGAAACCTGTAGAATGCCATTGTGGCCTTGCTATCCCTTTGCTCTGAAGTCGAGCAGATCAAACACCCTCTTCTATGCTTGCTTCCTCATCCAGGCTCCTACAGTTCTTGAACTCTGAGGTGTGAGTGGATAGGTGTGTTGAGGGAAGCCCTCTATAGCAGTTCACTTGCAGGGTCTGCCTTTAAGGACACCGTGAAAAGTGAAGCCTTCTAGGAGAACAGATTCCCCTCCTGGCTTAAGGACTTTTTCTATTCCTTCATTTTAAGAAGCCTGGAGAATGTTTTGAACCACTTCTTGAGCAAAAATGAGCCCATGTGCCCTAGGGTTTGAAGGAAAGCCCTTGCTTCCTTTTTGCAAACTTGCTTTGCTTTTTTTGCCTTTTTTTGGCTCCTGACGTTCCAGAGGCCAGCCCAGGCAGCACAGAACCAAATCAGAGCTGACTCCTCTGTCCAAACAGCCCAGCCTTATCTCCTCTCACCTTCCTTACATATCTTGGGAAAAGACAAGGGAGAGAAACAAGGATGGTACACCAAGGGCTGTACAAGGGCTGCAGCACCGTGAGAAGGCAGAGGGAGAGTCTCATGCCAAAGCTGATCACACAGAGCCACTAGATGGTGTTGCTGGTGCTCCAGCCCTGCCAGACGGCCTCCTGTCTCTAACTTGCCATGTCAGCCAGGGAAACTGCCCTTCTGTAGGAGCTTCCAGGACTGGAAGCTGAATGATACTAAGGAAGTGCTTAATGATGGCGGGTAGAGTTCTGTCACAATTGCTGCTCTTCTTTAAACTTCTTTCTTGGTGAGGTGAGAAGGGGAAAGGCAGTGTCAGAGGTTCATGTGCAACCTGGTGTGAACTGCAGCCAGCCAGAGTACCCAAGGCAGGGCTGTAGATCAATAGTTCAGGGCAAGAAAGATGCCCTGCAGTGCAAAGTGCTGTGTTTATAAAGCTGTGCTTCAGCAGCATGCAATCTTAGCCCCTGCCTGTGTTGAGTGCACACAGGCTGTATTCCACTACCTTAGGAGCTGTTTTTTTCCTGTTATACAGAACTTGGAGATACTGCCGTGAGTCTCTGAGTTTTCCCACTCTGACAAACTGGCAGATACTCTGTTATCCCTGGGGCACCAAGAATTCCCGAGAATTAAGGGAGTAAGTTGATGCAGTTACCTCCATTCAAACACTTGCAGCTTTCTGAAAATCACCACACTTTATGGATTCCTCTACTTGAACTCCATGAATGTTATTACCAGAGTGCACTTCTTCAAGTCTGCCAGGTTCATAACCATCCCAGAGGTCAAATTAGTTTGCCAGGGAAGAAACTGAATCACCAGGCCTGGCAGCCCCTTCCTGTGACTGGTGCAGGGAAGGACTACTGCGTACACTTACTGTATGTAAAGATGATAATCTCAAATTAGGCAAATGACCAGGGAGCGGGCCATTCTCAAAGGTTTAACAATAGCTCCTCAGACACCACAGTGCTGTAGAGCAGATGGAGTTCAGTTATTTTAGGTATCTCAGTCCCTTCAGGTGCGTATTGCTTTGTGAACTGCTTCTCTTTGGATTGCTGTGTGAACACCTTACAAGGGCATTCAGAGCCTGCCAGCTGTCCTTTGGCACACCCACCCCTGTGCACTAATGCATTTATAAACACAGTTCTTGCAATTGTCATAATATAACAAATCACAAGCAAGTCAAACTGTTGGCCGCAGGCCAAATCATTGCTAACATTACCTCTACAGGATAAATGAGAGGATGGAACGCTTGAAAGAGGAAAGACGATGAAAAGAAAAAAGGCAAGATGCACAAATTTCACATCTCTGATCTGGTTATGCAACACACCCCAGTCCCGCCCTGTAGGAAACTCTTCTGCTGTTTGAGCTTGTGTTGTTTCACTGACGCACTTTTTTCGGGCACATCTCAACTCATTCTGTTCCTGGGCCTCACGTCCACCAGCCCAGCAGCCTAGATGATGCAAATGAAGAACTTTGATGCAGCCCAAGATAGGTTTTGCGTATGTTCTCTAAAGCAGAATTTGAACTAAGCTGAGAAGTTGGCTCATTGGTACGCAATACCCTGACTTCTCCCTGTACCATCGTACCAAGCCCACTTGGACACAGATGAAAAACAGCAATTTGAAATGGAAAATGCAATGTGTGTTTTTTCAGTTTCACATTCCATCCTTCAGAGCTGGTCCTTCTCTTCCCTGGCAGCCCATGCAGAAATGTTTCAACAGCTGCTTCTCATCCTCACGGTGATTCCCGTGATTTTGATTGCTGCTCTCAGAGAGCTTCCAGGTTTCAGCACCACTCAGTGACTGAGTGAAAGATGAGCTAGTGCACAGCTGGTGTAAGAGAGCATTTGCTGCAGCGGATCGCACCGACGGTCCATCGGAGCTGCTGCCCTACCTCTGCGTTTGTAGGGCCGACACAGCGGCTCTTAACGGCCTTTTTCACTTTCTCCCCGTACCCGTGGCTCCTACCAGATCCCCGTACGTGCGCAGGAGACACCCGCGAGGGACGAGGAGGAGCA